CTCAATCGAGGCCCTCGGGACCTCAACCAAAAAAACCAACAAGTCCTAAAACATAATACAAACATATTTAAAATCTCAAATCACATCAAATAACGCTAAAATCACAACTCACACCTCAATTCAATCTTAATGAAACTTAAGAATTTTCAACTTCTACATTCGATGTCGAAACCTATCAAATCAAGTCCGATTGACCTTAAATTTTGCACACAAGTCATAAATGACATAAGAGAGCTATGAAAAGTTTTGGAACTGGATTCCGACCTCGATATCAAAAAGTCAACTACTTGGTCAAACTTCCAAACTTAAATTTCTATTTTAGCCATTTCAAGCCTAAATGAGCTACAAACCTCCAAAACAAAATCCGGACACGCCCCTAAATCCAAAATTACCTAACGGAGCTAACAGAATTGACAAAATTTTATTCTGGAGTTGTCTCATACAGTTCCGACTACAGTCCAAATCCTAAGGCTTAAACCTCCATTTAGGGATTAAGTGTCCCAAAATACTCCAAAAACCAAAACGAAACCTCCCGTCAAGTCACAATAGCAGAAATAGATATGGGAGAAGCAATAACTAGGGGATCGGGGCTATTACTCTTAAAATGACTTGCCGGATCATTACAGTTGCTTTGACGTTGTTGTCATTCCCATATTCAAAATCATATCTTGTAAGGAAAAAACTTTCTTTCCGAAGATGCTCAGTTCATTCACTTTGCCATCTTTCTCATAGAAAGTCTCTTGTTTTTCCTTCGTGGCTTTGGCCATGTGGCAATTATGATCTTGTCGATCGATAATACCAATTAAGGTTAGGATTGAATCCCTTGATTTCTGGAACAAATAAAAGGTGATGTAGACCAGTCATCTACCATGTAGACCGTTTACTATTATATAATTTTAATAGATGCATTTACTGTATGGTCACATGCGCGTTTGTTATCAACTTGCAGTTTGGCTTTTGCAAGGTTGCTTGCTCAAGTTATTAGAGCACAATTCCATAATATAAATTATGATAATTTATCTTGATAATATTGGTTTAAATTCAAGTTGGTTTAGCAGAAATTATATGCCTCCAATTATAGCTAAACCATTGGTTATGAGAACAAAACTCCCAAATAGAAATTTGGTATGAGATGTATTATTTAATATACATCAGCATTGTACGCATCTAGCCAATAAGTTATGATAATTTCTCCCTATCACAATCGGTTCAAGGCCAGAAACCAAATAATTTCTATCTAAAAAATATGGATGTGCTATATGATTTAATTGTCCTACCACAATGCACAAAGAAGGGTTCCCAAAGAAGGTCAAAAAATATGTTGGTGATCCCAACATTAAGGAGAGAAAATGGGCAGCTGAAAAAGTGATACGTGAAATGAATTGATATGAGTACATCTAGATCCTCGTACAAAAAAATGTGAACTTGAAATTCAAGTGATAATTCATTTACAAAATATTGCTAGAAGCATTTGTTGAGCCAAAGCTAAATGTTATATTTCAGCTGCTAGATGCTCCAAATAGAATAAAGTCCATGATGGACATAATCTATGACACTCATGAAGCGTAATAGACTAATCAGTTCCAAAGATAAAACTTATTGAAGAAGGAACATAGCAAATGATAAAGATGGTCATACTAAAGAGGCAAGTGCTATATAAGAGCACCACGGCATAACGCTTTATAAGACCCCATGGAAGAGGCTAAGGTACTTGAAAATAGTGAGATCTCGATAAGTTATGTGTTTATTAAGTTATGATGGAACCAATGTAAAATGATCGTCGACGATATTGTTGATATAATGTAGCGCTCAATTTTATTAATATTGACAAGAATCTTGAGCTCAAATCTGTCATAGAATATTGATGGATAAATGATTGGTCAATGAAAAATATGCAATCAAGATTGACTTTACTTGGAAAACATGAAGTTTTGGATTGATAGTCCCAACAACTAAAAGTATAAGCCAGTGGGGTGACACAAGATTTTTCGTAAATATCCTTGCATTAATTATATGGAAACATGTCCTTTTGTGGTGGATGGAGTTGCTTTCAGATTTTAGTCTAGTAATACCTGAAAATTTTGATATGCGTATATAAAAATTATTAAAATATTTAAACTGTTTTGAAGCATATTAAGGTTCCCAAAAAAATTATTAAATAAAGTTTAAGCAAATCCTTGTGTGGATTAGAGCAATCATGGCGTACATGATTTGTTGTTGTGTCTAGAACAATTGGTGCACTAATGTATCTTGCTTACTTGCTAGAACTATGAGTATAACAATATGCTAGCGGGATATGGTTTTACTCATATGTGGAGTATTGAAATACATTAGTGTTATATTGCAAAAGAAATCCTTGATATAGAATTGTTTATTCTAATAAATACTGTCAAGATTTTGTTGGTCTTGCAAATACATGCATTTCTTTACGTTCGTTCTTCTAACAATCTATTTGTACGTGAGGGTATTACTATATTATGATATTCGACAAGACAGTCAATTATTGATACTTATTCAAGTCATGCCAAGATACTAGCAACTGATAAAGCAAGTACCTCAACACACAATGAATGTGTAATTTTTCTTTGAAAAAGAAGATTTCAATAATATTGAAGACAATGTTGCTTGTTTATCTCAACTGAAAGAAGGATATATTGAAAGTGACAAAATAAAGCACATTTTACCAAAGTTCTTTTTAGACATGATCTTCGATAGGTTGGTGATATAGATATTCAACAAATTTATTTGATTGATAAGTTGGTGGATCTGTTCAATGAATCATTACCAACCTCAACATTTGAGAAACTGGTATACGGGATTGGAATGCGTCATTTCCGAAAATTAAAGTGATATTTTCATCAAGGGGAGTAAGATAAGCGTTGCACTTTTTTTTCCTTAGCTGAGGTTTTATCCCACTGAATTTTTCTAGCAAGGTTTTTAACGAGGCAACAAATTAAACAATGCGTATTACAAGATACGTGTACTCTTTTTACTTCACTAAGATATTTCCCACGGGATTTTTTCTTAGTAAGGTTTTAACGAAACACATTATCTATAGACATCCAAGGGGGAGTGTTATGAAATATTATATTATATACTCCCTTCGTTTCAATTTAGATGAGGTAGTTTGACTCGGCACAAAATTTAAGAAAAAGAAAGAAGACTTTTGAAACTTGTGGTATTAAAAGCTTTAGGGGTAAAAACTTTGTGGGATCATGACATTTGTGTGGTTATAAAAGCTTCTCATTAAGGGTTAAATGGGTAAAACGAAGAGTTTAAAGTTGAATTATTTCCAAATTTAGAAATGTGTCATTTATTTTGGAACAGACTAAAAAGGAAAGTATCTCTTCTAATTTGAAACAGAGGGAGTAGTGGATATCTATAACTCCTAAAGAAGTTACTCCCACTACTCTTCTCCATTAACCTCCCACTACTTCTTACCATTATGATTGTAACTCGCACACCTCCATAACCTATTCCATGATCTTCCCCCATGATCTCAATAGTTAATACCATGTTTATGGCATCCCTTTATATTAGCTCAATATCATCCTATAAATAGAGGGTTTGGGCATCACATTGTACACACTTGGGAAACACTTGATGAAATAAGAAAGTTATCTCTTTCCTCTCTATCGTTTGTTTTCTTGTTTTATATTGTTACTTTGAGCTTAGTTTCTTAATATAGATATAATATCCATGTTTCTATAATTTTTAGTCATTACTGTGTTTGCCGGCCAATAGATCCCACGTGGCACGTGCCATAAAACAGAATAAATTATCCAGTGGGCCATAATAAGCTATAGAAATAGTTTTGGGTCCCCTTTTATTTATAGTGTCTGAACGTGGAAATGGTGTACTACAGTACTAGTAACTAAAATAAATTATAATTAATGAAATACAACTCAAACGTGGTAATGAAAATGTAGACTTATTCATATTTTATCATCTTCGAATAAGTGATAATTCTCATGTGACGGAAGAAGAATAAGCGTGTCGCACGTTATGCCTAATCGGCTAATCGCTGCAGCATATGCTATCAAGCTTTACAAACACAACGTCCCTACTAAAAAGTTCAAAAGCTAATTAAGTAGAAAGATAAACTGAAATTCGTAAGCTAATTTTCATGTGTGCTGATATATTACTTCTTTAATTTATTTATTGCTATATGATCTACTCTTAACGTGTTAAGTATTTCCAAAGTTAGTAATCTCTACGGACAAAGAAATTTTGATAGGAACCACATATTTCCAACTGCCAAGATAGATATTTTCAATCTGAAATAAATATAAGATATTTTTTTTAATAAAAGGTCCTTTGCAATATATATGACACTTAGAGACAAAACGTGCTTATATATCATCATTCAATTTATGCCAGGTGATCTATCATGCCTGAAAGAAGAAGATGGGCTTATCAAACTGCAATATTTGTTTGTCACGACTTCTATATTGAGAATATTAATTGTATTATTCACTAGTTTAATTACTTGGCGAACGCAAGTTGAAAAATATTAGAGATGGAACACTAAGAAGAGCATTTAATAAATACTAAATAGTATGCAATAATTAATAATAAAAAATAAATACAAAATTTTGGATGTGAAAAATCGATTCGAAGCAGGCTATGGAAGACAGCTATGACTTACTATTATAGTGGATAAAATTTACTTACTTTAATGTGATAAAATAAATTAATATTTTACCATGATATTGTGAATAAAATTAAGTGACCTAATTTGAAATTAACCATTTTCTCCTCTCTCCCCTTTCTTTGCTCATGGAATGTGATATCTTGATATATATATATTTATTGATAGATAGATGCCAAGGAAATATAAATTGTTACACATATATGTTCTGGAAAAGGTTTTTCCTTCATTTTATCACACATTGCTCGCGTCTTTCCCAGCATTATTTCTTTCTTTTGTATTTCCACCCTAACAAGCAAACGTCGAATTAAAAGTAACAGTAAGAGTGTATTTAATTAGAGAGAAAAAATTAATAAAGCAACTAGTGCGAATTGACAACAATTGGACAGGAACAACAGTATTCGATAAACATAATTAGCTCAAAAGAGAATGCTTGAAATATATACTACTACGAGTTTTACTTATTTCTGAAATCTACATAAAGTTCGAAAATACAAAAATGGATAAAGAGAAGTAGTGTGGGTTAAAATCATCCTCGTCATCAATTATTGTCACGTAGGAGACTTTCATGGACGGATGCACCCACATCAACATCTTCGACAGCTCATGTTGTCACTTCGTATATTTCCTATGTATCACTTCAACTATACACTTAGAATATATATTCATCACGTCAATTTTGAGAATAAAATCACTTAAGAGTGGTGAAATAGACCGGGATCTTTCACGGAAGAAAGCCTACTCCTCAGAGATATTTCTGCTGATGGGTCCTTGAATTATTGCAGGAACAACCTCAAGCGGTTTTTTCCCTTATTAGACATATGCAATGCTTATCTGAATTAGTCGATGCAAATTTACGATTTCGAATACCGAATGGTTCGACTGGAACCAATAAAAGAATTTTGGAATAGAGGGAAAAAGGAATGAATTATGAGAATGTGAATATAGTTCGATTCTTGGAATATGACAAGGGGTTGCGCCGCTGATGGTACTCCTCCAATAATGTCGAAGTCTCACTGCACCGACCACCGTCTCCACATTGGCGAAAAGATCGCAACATTTTCTTAGTACAATTCTCAATTTCTTTAATTTCATCCAAATAAATCTGCCTGTGCCTACACTCTAAACTGCAGAAACCCATATCACCCCTGCATTAATTAATATAAGCACCGTTAATTAATATGCAAAATGGAGAAAAACAATAAAGTTAAGCTAGTTGCATATGACTAAAGTACGTACTTATACATGTAAACTTGTTTGTCAAGCCTCAGAGTCTTGTTGCAAAGGCAACAATATTTGAGGAAGCAAGAATTTTGTTCACTGCTGCTAGATTCAGTATAATTCGTGTGGAAGATGGGTTTGACTCTAGTGAATCTTGAAACATTATTAGGATTTGCTTTGGCCTGAGAAAGCTTATGATTAATTAGGATCTTCAGGCCAACTACAGCAACTGATTTCTTGTTCTCAATCCCATGGCAGTCATGACCCATATTTTGTGAATAAACTCTAAAGCAGAAATAAAGAAAATGATGAATAAGTAAACAGAAGGGTGTTTGAAGTGAGGTATTCAAGGTGGAGGGATGAACGGTATATATTGGCAAAAAAAATGTGGGGACAAGTGGGTTGGCAAAAAGTAAAACAAGACAACTTATTTTATGGTTCATAAGAAAACAAGACTACTTATTTCAAGATATTATAGAACGTGCTTTAATTGAAAGGTCCACGTTTCTGTAAATTTTAAATCTACCGTGTAAAACTAAATTCTAAAATACTTCTTACTTTAACTTTTTTCAGTGGGTCATAAGTTGAAGAAAAGGTGAAAAACAAATATCATAAGTTGAAGGAAATGCTTTGGGTCCCTTTTTTTAAGAGTGTCAACGTGGAAATTGTGCTTATAACTGGAGAGAAAAAATATACTCGAATAACCCAAGCGTGGTTATGGAAACACAAATTTACCTATATCTTAGCGTCCTTTGTACGCCTGTTTTAAACTGGTCTTAGAAACATTAATTAAGGTAAAATAATGATTCCTCAGCTAAAGAGATAAGTTAATAATTTTCACTTGTCGCTTGATGTAGTGTGGGGAATATGATTCCGAGTCGGAAAACTAGTTTCCTAATCCCAAGAAAATATACTACTCATATCCTAATGTAGAAAATATGTTAAAGATTATTTTTAGTTTTCAAAATAGATCAAACTGAAGTTTTGACAGAACATTATTTTAGCATATGTCTTACATTTTGCTATTTTATTAATAGTTTAATTACTGCAGTAAATTTTAGTTAATTTTTAGTACTTCCATAATATCATTAGCAACTTGAGATAGATGCGCTTGCAAACATGAGCTATGCTGATTAGGGTGTTATTACGGTAATTCGTATCGTCACTATTTTGGTCTGCATTAAAAAATTAGTCATCATTTGAAATTTTTGCAAACCAACTGAATTTTTTCGCAAATTAATTATCAACGCTTAGCGCGAATTGATTTGACCTATATGTGTACCTAACTCTTTCCCCTTTGTTAGAGAGTCTAATTAATTTCAATGCTTTTATAATATTCTCCTTTTTTAAAATAAAAAAAAAATCTAAAAAGAATGTACAAAAAAAAAAGCAACAGCAAGAGAAGAATGAACAGGGGTAAATGGTAAAATTGAATATATCGGCCCCTAATCCAGAAAATCAAATTACATGAATTTCTTCTGTAATTTGCCTATTTTTTCCTTTCCGTTTCTTTTACTTTTTTCTATTTTTCTTTATATCGTTTATTTATTTATTTTTCCTTTCGTACTTCCTTGTCTGTTTCCAGGAAAATGGCCTTACTTTCTTTTCTTTCTTCTCTAATTTTTCAGAAACAGAGGTAGATAAACAAAGAGGCTAAAAAATAATAAAGGTGAAAATTGTAGAAAGAATAGATGTGGGGTCCAGTAGGTAAGTTAATACAGTGTAATTAGTAGTGTTAGTTCAGTTAGTTAGTTAGATGATTGATTGTTATAACTAGTAGAAGTAGTTAGACGTGTACAGTACTCTTCCAATATACAGTTGGCATTTTCAATACATAGAAATGGAGCTTCTTCTCCACCGACTCTTTTCTCTTTTCTGCCATGGTTGAGCTCTTCAACATGGTATCAGAGCTTCCAGACTAGATCAATTAGGTCAACAACATCAGAAGAGAAATCTCACTAATTGCAACTCACTCGTTGATCATTATTCTACTATTTCAGTCAGTTTTGGCAAAATCCTTACAAGTAGGGCTTGCTTTGATCTACGTCAATTTCTGATACAATTCATCCAAAAATTCAGAAGATCTGTGTGTGTTGTGAATCTAATCTACTCAATTCTACTTCCTCAGCTTCTCAAGTTCCGACTACAAATAAGATGTTGAACACTCAACATCCAGATTTGGTACATCACAATCATCCTCTGTATGTTCATCCCTTAGATACATAAGGTTCTGTTCTCATTTCAATTCAACTTCATAGTTCTGAAAATTACTCGATTTGGAGTCGGTCGATGAAGATTGTTTTGCATGGTAAAAACAAACTAAGCTTTGTTCTAGGAACTTGTAGAAAAGAAATGTATGATCCTAGTTTACATGAACTCTGGGACAGATGTAATGCTATTGTCTTAGCTTGGATAATGAGCACCGTGTCATAAAGTCTTATTAGCACTGTAATTTATGCTTCTGATGCACATAAGGTCTGGGAAGACCTCAAGGAGAGGTTTGATAAAGTAAATGCCTCCAGAGCTTGCTACTTGCACAAGGAAATTGCTACCCTTACTCAGGGTATATCAACTGTGTATGTGTATTTTTCAAAACTTAGGGCACTATGGAATGCGTATGAGACACTTGCCCCCCCCCCCCCC